TATAATCACAGATTTCGAAATAAAACCATACTATCAGAAAACAAAAGCACGGAAGGTATATATCTACGCAAAGGCAAATTGGGAAAAATTAAAACAATCATTTGTCATCCTCTCAGAGAAAATCCTAAATCTAAGATCTCAAGGCGAAAACATCCACAGACTCTGGGACACTTTAAAAAGCACCATCCACAAAAACATGTACGAATTTATACCATCAAAGGATATAAAAAAAAAACACTCTGTTCCATGGCTGACATACAAAGAAAGAAAACTACTACAGAAAAAAACAAGGCTATACAAAAAAGCCAGGAAAAACAAAGAAGTGGTCAAATTACAGAAGATTCCAGAAAGAATGCAAATCAAGACTACGTAAAGCTGAGGGAACTATGTAAACAACAACAATACAAACTAGAAGGCCTAAATAACAACAACACAAAACTGTTGTGGAAGTATGTGAAATCAAAGAAACAAGACTCTTTTGGCATATCCCCCTTAAAATCTGGAACAACACTTGTAACCGACAGTAAAGAAAAACCTGAATTACTCAACAAACAACTTGAATCGGTTTTCACCAAAGATCAATCAGACCAAATGCCGGAAACAACAGAAACACCCAAACACAAGATCAACATCCGCACAGATGGAGTACAAGAGCTCCTTAGTAATGTAAAGTCATCAAAAGCCACAAGCCACAACATACTGAACAAAATTCTTAAAGAATGTGCAGAACAACTAGCACCCAGTCTAGCTACCATCTTTCAACTATCTATAGACACTGGTGACCTTCCAAAAGACTGGCGAGATGCCAACATATCATGTATATATAAAAAGGGGATAAACATCTAGCTGAAAATTACAGACCCGTCTCGCTAACATCGGTAAGCTGCAAATTACTAGAAACATTATTTGCAGACCCATTCTTAAACATCTAGAGACAAACAAAATACTCACATTGCTGAACCACGGATTTAGATCAGGATATTCGTGCGAAACGCAGCTCATAACAACAATGAATGATCTACTCAAAAATTATGACCAAGGCATCCACACAGACATGGCAATATTAGACTTTTCAAAAGCCTTTGACACAGTTCCACACAAATTAGATCAGTATGGTGTGAAAGGAAATATCCTCCAATGGCTTAACACTTTTCTTACGCAAAGGAAAGTGAGGACCGTAGTCGAAGGCGAGACGTCGAAAGAAGTGTCAGTTGACACTGGAGTGCCTCAGGGCACTGTCCTAGGACCCCTTCTCTTCCTCTGCCACATAAACGACTTGCCGGATGCTATCAAATCACACGTGCGTTTTTTATTTGCCGATGATTGCCTCCTTTACCGCCAAATTAAATCATTCAGAGATCACCAGATCCTCCCAAGACGACCTCATTGAACTACAGATCTGGGCCAAAAAATGGGGCATGCGTTTTAATGCAAAGAAATGCTATCATGAGCATATAACAGAAAACGAATAAGTTCTACACCTTGGATAACCACATACAGGTGCAAGACAACCCCTACCTTGGTATACAGATCTCATTAGACATGAAGTGGTCTACCCATATAAGTAAGATCACTAAAAAGGCTCAATCTACTCTAGGATTTCTCAGGAGAAACCTCTCAAGCTGTACACAACAATGTAGGAAAACAGCCTATATTTCCAAGGTTAGATCTACGTTGGAATATGGGTCTATAGTCTGGAATCCATTGCAACAATCAGACATCGATAAATTAGAAAGAGTACAACGTAGAGCCATCCGCTTCATCAAAAGAGACTACCGAAGTAGAGAGGAAGGATACATCAACAGAATGGCCACAGAACTAGAATCGCCAATTCTAGAGGACAGAAGGACAAGCCTGCCATAATGCTATATAAGGTGGTTGAGGGATTGGTGCCTGGGCTGCCAACCCAAAACTTTCTAACAAAATCAAAAGCAAAGCGTCAAATTAAATTGAAAACTTGATAAATGCAAGACTACAAACATTCTGAAAAACCAGCAAAAACTAAAGTGGCATACGGGAAAACAAAACAGTTCGAATCATCGTTCTTTGTAGACAGCATCATAAAGTGGAACCAGCTACTCGACCATATAGTGTGCGCGAAATCTGTCGAGCTTCAAATCCGCCGTCGACAGCATGTGTCAATTAGTTCTAACACAGCTCTCTCTTCCGTCGTATAAAAGCGAGTATTGGTTACTATGACGTAACTCAACAGAAACAGACGGGAGGCCGGAAGTTGATGTTAGAACGTCACAATTCGGGAAAGCCCTTTTCTGATGGTGGATGTCTTGAGAGTTAAATGAATATAAAATCAAATAAAAAATAAATAAAACAGAGCTGTTTCATACAAATTATAAATAAGGAACGTTAGCAGTTCAACTGATACGTGTATATTAGTATTATATATATATTGGGACATCTATAGTTCCCGACTGTTTGCAAATAAATATATAATTATTTAAAACTGTAATCTTTGTAGATTGTTGTTATTCAATGCTCTTTAAGAAACACTGAAATATTTAGACTAAATTGTTTACATCGTATTTTACATACAGAGACGTAGTTATACACCTGCACCCGAAAGAAAAATAAAAGATTTGAGTTTGAACATATTTTATTGTATAAATACTATACAAATGGTTTGAACACAAGTTCTAGCAACTTACGAGGTTCTCACCAAATAAAAGATGGGGGGGGGGGGTTTAAAATCCAAATAAATAGCAAAAAAATGTTCAATGATATCATCAATTTTAAGCGTTTAAATTTTTTAATTCTGAAATTAAGGGGGTGGGTGGTCTGGCATATTTTGAAAATGCATGTAAATTTTATTTCCTTCACGGACATGGAAATAAAGTTGGAAAAAGAACTAAAAATCGAGATGAAGTAGCTGAACTGAAAAATTCAAGATGGCGACCGTGACTAACCTTCTTGCTATTATAGTATAGGGAATATTTTTATTTATTAAAAAAAGGTTAAAAACGCCAGGCGCCTGTGGGTATATTAGACTTTTTCGAATAGATTTATGTAGGAATTAATATTCAAGGGTTTAACAATCTTCTTTACTATGAGGAAAGTAGAATTCTATATTGCAATTAACACTAACCCCCCCCCCTCCTTTTTTAAAGAAAAGATAATACATGTATGTGGCTCAATTGATTTTCCTGTGTTTAGATTTCATGTTTCTTTTAATGAAATATATGGAGATAACGATAAGTATTTAAGCTTAAATGTCCATTAAACAATAACACGGACCTCTAAAACATGGAAGGTGGGATCAGGCATGATGGAGCAGTGAGCATCCCTGCTGACCGATCACACCCGCCGTGTGCACCTAGTCATGATCGGGAAATAACGGGAAAATCTGTCGGCAATATAATAACTAACAATTAGTAATAAAAACGTCAGTCAGCATCTGACTTGATGATAAATTGTATTTGCTGACAGGGTCATTATATAGACCACAAAACTTACAAAATGGTGACTCAAAACGAGACTGCTGATATACTTGTTTCAGCAACTGATTGTCAATAATTTACCTCGTTTTATATATTGGAGACGCCACCAGTTGCCGGTGGAGAGATGCAAATATCTTTTACTCGGCACTTCCGGCCACTGAATAGGGAGGGATCTTTTTCGTGCCAGCACCTACTGCAACACGGGACGTTGGTTTATACGGACTCATCCGAAGGACTGGTCTCCACGTCCCACAGTGGGATTTGAACCCGTGACGTAATGATAAACTCCTTACTTCGTGATTCTAGAGCAGACGCTTTAACCACTGCGCCAAGCGGGCGAGAAATGTCGAGTTGAAACCCACAGCAAGTGTTTTTATTTCAAGCATAAGATTTTGCACAAATTCTGCTTCATATGAGTACAAAAAGAGGTTTGCTAATAATGGTGCGCAATTGGTACCCATGGGTATTCCAATAAATTGTTGGATGACCTGGTCTCCAAAAAACAAGTAGATATTGTCGATCAGAAACTCAATTATCTTTTTAATATCATCTTCAGAGCACTTGTGTGTACAATAAGAATGTATTGAAATGTTGAAAAATATCAAAATAACGAGACTATATGGTAAAGAATAAAAGAGACTATTTTTTATGCAGTTGGAGTGATATGTCCTTAGCTGCAAGTTCGGATTTCTATAGTAAATGACACAGCTTGTAGTAAAGTGTAATACTTAAGTTTTATTGGACCAAGATGATACCCTATTTGCATGCATTTTCTTAGTATAATTAAGTAACAGTGTTTTGTAAAAAAAAAAAAAAAAAAAAGTCTAAAAGTGAACTGTAAATATTTAATATAAAAGAAAATACTTTTTTCGGTCCATTAAATCTTATAAGATAAAGATATATATAGTTCAAGCTTTAGTACATTTAAATGGTATTATAATAGTATTCAATGTATTATGATGAGATGTTGAACAATTGTGAATCCTTATAAGCTACATGTAGTTAAATATCTATTGCTAGACAAGGATAATGGTGAAATGAACCAAAATCACATCAATGGTAATAGGAAGCCAGCGTTTATGTTTTTCGCCAATAGCCAATAATAATAGGAAGGAATTTTGTTAATAGATTCATTTTGTTTTATATTTTAAGAGAGTTAATGCATATTTTCATCAAGAGAATTGTATGAAGTTTAATTACTTTTCACAACATTTGCTGCCAACAGATTTAAATGTTAAATTCAAAGTGCAATCAATTGGATTTTGTAAATTCCGTTGGTGGAGTACATGTTTTTCCATTTGATTTCACCTTCAAAATGCTACTTGATTAAAAAAATCGGACCATTCATTTATGGTAGTTACACATTAAAAACATAGGATAACTTGTATTATAAATTCCATGAAGATACAGAAAATTAATATTCGTAAAAGATATGAAGACCATCGTTCAAGCTATTAAAAACAATCTTATTTCGATCGCGTGGAGAGGTATAAAACAAACTCTAAAATAGCTGTAAACTGCAAAAATGAAGACAATTTACATCATGGATGCATGTGACACTTGCTTTTACTCAGCACTTTATTATCCTTCATCTGTCCCTCTGGAGAAATTAATATGACAAAATGCAAAACAACAAATAAGATCGAATTGCTGCATTACACTGGGAAGAAAATCGAGCTCACATTCGTCCTGCTTTAAAAGAGAAATAACAACCTGGGATAATATATCAGCCATGGAAAGCACCAAGAGCTGAAAATTTGATCAGTTGGTAATTTGAACCCTTGACTGCTGGTAAGGTCTTTTGACAATAGCACTTTGTCATTAGATAGCATTCAACATTCATCGTTGTCCAAAACCTTATCAGACGACAGTCCGGGTCAGGTGACTTGAGATAATTTCCTTCTACACATTAGTTGCGACTGTCATTCCACTGTTTGTGTTCGTGACATTAGATGTAAGAATGAATTAACAGACGATCAATGGAATTCGCACTCGTCTATTTATTTTGTTATATCGTTCATTGATTTGTCTCTTTTTTTTTACATGGACAAGGATAACCACACTTCTACGAACTCTTCTTCGCTAACTTTGCCATCTTCTGCATGAGAGAAAAAAAGAAACAATTATTCTCCATAAATTTAATCAGTTGTAACTGACAGCAATTCAATTCTAGGTCCTATCAATTCCAAAACAGACATGTATTTGATAAATGTTAATGAAAATCTTTTGTTGAATTATTCAGTTTGAGCAGATGAATGACCATGAGGAAAAATGCATTGTAAATTTTGTTAATGGATAAGGGCACCTGTGACTTTTTACTGAACTAGAGATATTTGTTCATCGGAAATGATTAATAATTTCTAATCACCATTCTGAAATACTTGTGTCATAATCTGACAAGGGCCTCAAGGTTATTAAACAAACAGATTCATTACTAAATAAAGTAATAAGGTTATTTGCATGTTATGGAAAAAAAAAACTTACGATCCCGATCAAAATAGTAGAAAACGCGTGTAAGATCGGGGACCTTAGAAATGACGTCATCGCGATCGGTATCGGCATGATGGAAAAGGGTAATGGCGTGCGAGATATCGCCCAAATGCCGATCTCTCCAAATGTATATGAATTCTTGTTCATCCACAATACCATCCACTAATAAAAAGATAAATTAGAGATATATTTAGGGACAACATTCGCATATTGCTACAAAACTAAAAGATTACGGCGTCATTTCTGCCTTCTACATCATACTTGAAAGAAAAATTTATGTCACATTCAAAATAACATTTTCTACTTACAATATTGAAAGTTAAAAAATTTCACCTTATTGATGATATGACTTAAATATATGTAAATTTATTCCAAACACCAGTATCTGACATACTTGTACCTGCTGATATCTTTCAGTGACCTTCAGTAAAATCATAACTCCCAGTTGTCCGCATTAATTTTGGGGTCAAATGTCAGTCATAGCTAGATTCAAAAACTCTGTTTGTGTGTTATATTTTCGTTTCCGGACATTATCTTAAAAAATCCTTGTGGAATTAATCCAAAGCAAATAGTATATTTCAGATGAAAACTTATAAATTTCCTCAATCTTTCTTTAAAACTATTTAACATCACCCCTTAAGGCATACAGAAGACCTTTATTAACGTCAAAGTGCAAGATAAGATAGAATCTAAATTTGTACAGAAATATTGTTGTTTCCAGACTATATCTTTAAAAAAAGCTTTAAAGTTTTGCGATTTAAATTTAATTTATATCACAACTCCTTAATACCTTTAAAAGACCCAATTTGGAGCCGAACGTGAGGGCTGGGGTTCTATATTGCATACCTAGTTTTAAAATGACAATTTTCTACTGTAAGCTTTTGGGATGAAACTTTTCGTCATTAACGCCTTTTTGCTCTGGGATATATGATTGATTGATTGTATATTGTTTAACGTCCATCTCAAGAATTTTTCACTCATATGGAGACACGTTTTGAGATAAAAAGCTGAAATGTAAATGTTTTACATTTTTTCACTGTTTACACATTTTTCAGTTCTTCCACCCTCTTTTTTCCCTCATAGGCAGGGGGATTCTCTAGTTAACATGTTTAAATTAAAATTTAACGAAGAGTTCTACATCAGTGTCTTATGATACCATATAATTTTGAAATTCTTTATCAACATCACAATCATCAGAAGAAATAGTTTTATTAAAATAAATGACCGATACGATATGTGTTTGACATTGAGGAATGGTATCTTTTAACTACTTGAAACATAAGATACAATATTATTGTAGACCAATTCTTACCGTTGTGGTCAAAAGTCTGGAAAATATCGTCTAGTTCCAGTTTTGTAAGAAAACCATCAGGGGTTCTATTTCTTTCAGCAGCAGCAAAAATGGTACGTGCCTCTGGACTGTCAACAACAGGGCGTCCCAAGTGAAACTGACCACTTACCCTTGAATAGAAAAATAATCAAACGTTGAAATTTTATCATTCATCATCTACACAAAGAAAGGATGTGATAGCATTGTAAAAATGCACTCATTATTCTACCAAGAATGCTTATTCTTACAAGGGTACCGCAAAGCGTAGCATCCCGTCGCAAAGGGCATATCAATAAAACAAAGTAACTGACATTGACCCTGATGCAAATTACGTCACTTCCGTTTCACACAAGGACAAACTAAAACCCAACCACTTGCGCGTCACTATATCTCCTCCAACTATTATTATGTTATAATGACCTAAACTCTGATGCATAAGTACAAGTTTTATAGATTTATTCGAATTTGGTTAAATATAACGTATCGATTTGTTATATCCCCTCTTCGAAGGAGGGGGTGTATATTGTAATATTCTTTGTCTCTGTCTGTCCATAACTAAATTTTCGTCGCAGTTTTCTAAGCAACTACTCTTCCCAGATGCTAGAATTCTAATACACTCTTTCTTTTAGACTGCAGGTATTTAGTATGCCTCTGGATCGAAAGATCCCAGGGGTATATTGTTTTGTCCTGTCTGTCTGTTTATCTGTCTGTCTGTTGTCAACTTTAACCTAGCTCATAACTATTGAGTGGGTGGGGCTATGGCTTTCATATTTCATAGATGTATTCCTTATGACATGGTCTTTCTTTTAGGTACCGCCACATTTGACCTCCTGATCTTGGGCTTGGAGTTTGACCTATTTTTACAAAAAATACCACAATTTAACCTTCGCCATACAATTGGAGCTAGGGCTTTCATACTTCACACATGTATTCATTGTGACCTTTCAGCTGGTATATTTATTCTTGAACTCCTGACCTAAGAGTTTGACGCACTTTTTAAAAACTTGAGCTTTGGTCATAGCTTTTGAACAGTTAGAATTAGGGCTTTCATATTTCAATGGTATTTTCCTTTGTACAAGACCTTCCTTTACGTTACAACACTTTTGACCTTAACCTTTGGAGTTTGACACACATTTGAGATAATTCAACCCTCGCCATAAGCTGCTATACGGGGGCATCAGTGTTTTACAAACATCTTGTATTTGTACGATTCAGATGTCAAATTCCGGTTTATCCGAGTGTCTTGCCGTACCAAATTTTCGTTACAATTTTTTCAGCAACAACTCATCGCAAATATTTGATATGTTAACTCACTCTCTGTTCAAGCATGTCATATGGGGGATTTATTTTTATGCGCCCGAATCGATAGATCCGGAGCGTATATTGTTTTTGCCCTGTCTGTGTGTATGTCTTTTGACAACTTTAACCTTCGCCATACTTTTGAACCGTAAGAGATAGCTTCATATTTAATATGCTTACTCCACCAAATAAGTCCTTTTAAATGACACCAAGATCAATGACCTTGTGACCAATAACTGACCTATATGCTAAAAAAGCTTTTTTTCCCGATTTTTCGCCATAATTTTTGAACCCTAGGAGATATAGACTTCGTATTTGGTATGCATACTCCACTAATCAAGTTCTTTAAATGACAGCATGGTCAATGATCTTGTGACCTTGACTGACCTATATGCTAAAAATAGCTTTTTCGAACTTTGTTGCCGCCGGACGCATAGTATTTCAAAAACAGTGTTTCATAAACACATCTTGTTTTATCTGATATTGATGATATACATCATACTTAATGTTCGTTCCTGCACTGTTAAACAGTTTCTTTTTCCATCAATATATATATATATATATATATATATATATATCGTATTTAAATTCGAACATCAAAATGTTCAAATAAAAAATATGACAATCCTTTTATCTCCTGAACATTTATTGGTGATCAAAAGCATTACACAAAACACACTTTGTAAACATTAGTGACGTTAATGGATATTAAGTCTAATTGACTTAGGTCAGAATGATAAACGTGTACTTACATGATGACCCCCAAGACAGCTCCTAAACATATGGTTAAGAAAATTTTGTCCATTGTCCTACAATAAAAAAAGCTATGATTTCTTTCTGACTCGTCCTTATTCAAGTCTTAATGCATTTGTTAAATATTTTCTTTTCGTACATGGAAATTGAACAAACCTTTGATACCAGAAAGAGAGAGATTACAGTTCTTATCGCCTGCATTATGTCAGAATTATGTTGTGGCGTACACGTACAGGGCTCGGTTCTTTAACAACCATGACGATATTGCTACTTGTACAGTTTGGAAAGATAATCACCAGCGAAAAAAAAATCTTCTCACAATGATTTTTACTTTCAGAATCATATGTTATATACTGTGGAATCATCAAGTACGAAGCGACACCAACACTGACAATTTTTGTCAACATTTCTTCCGTATATAAGAGTTTACCACGAAATTACGAAACCACAATTCAATAAAATGCTGCTTGCTCTTAAACATTGACCCACACAAAGTCATGTCACAGTATATTACATGTAATGTAAATTCTTGGTACACAAGTAGACTATACTAAGAAACATAATTTTGTGTATTATGTTAAGAATTTGACGAACGGTCTTGTCATGGTTACTAAAAATTAAAAAGCTGGAGAAACTACTTCTCATACAGTTCAATGGAAATGAAAACCTGAAATAAGTACACGAATAGATTTTGCATTGTATTATTACTTCTACTATATGTTTTTGGTGTTTTGTTGCATTGTTTCCCTGGAAACGTAAAATTATTTGGAACATTACTCCTACTTTTTTTTTTCTAAATTTAATAAATACTTAGCACACAAGTAGGTTAACAAAGTAAAGGATCAGAATTCTTAAAATAATAATGAGGTTTTTGTAAATTTTTCTGTGCGATTTTCATTTTTGAAACAGATATCGTCGCCATAGAAGCAAAAGGTCGTAAGTCTGTGCATCATTTGATTTCAAATAAGAGAGAAAAATGAAAAAAACTGTTTCATTCGTGGAAAAACTAAAAGTGTTCTTTCAAACTTTTCAGTATTGTGCAGAATGGCTAAATATCTTTAGATAGTGATTAAAAAGTTTAAAAATGCGTTTTATACCATTATTTTTATTAATTTTTTACACATATGACCTTTTGCCTTTGAAATATAAAATTAATTTTACGGGGATTAAGATCGTAACTTCCACATACTACCTTTTTGCATATAAGTAATAAGAACATTACCATTAATTTAACTTAAGTGAATCATGATTTATCGACAATATGTTTTTATTACGACGTTTATCATGTTACTCAACTACAGGATAACGGTTTATATGTGTTTTCGTGTATTTGCTACTAAATCAAAACAAGAAATATTCTTTAAAATTTATTTATCAAAACAACCTCCTTAATACAGAAACCTATTAATTTTTATAAACTGAATCAGCAGTTTGATAAAAACAATGAAAATAAAAAATAATAATGACATCAAAAACAATTTGAGTTATTGTACATTATCACTTAATTTGAATGCTTATGTAGGGAAACATTACAAATATGTAGTTTTTTTTTTTTTTGCTCTTAAGAATTGTTACATAATGTTAACTTGTTATATTGACCCTTAGTCTCCAATTCTAAGCATCAACATCTGAAAAGATAATGAGCAAGAAAATTGTTCATCAAGTAGGTTAATATTTAAACAATAACATTATGTGTAATGAAATAATAATAGGCTTCTGGATGATTTACAATTTGGAGTATTTGAAATGCTACTTGGCATAAAAAAACAAAAAGACTTGGTAAACAAATTGAACAGCAAAAGAGTGTTCCTGTCATGATATTTATGGAAATACCAGTCAATCTGAATCGTCATTTTCATCAGGTTCCTCCAGCATGTTGCAGACACTTCCCTTATGAGGGAGCTGGGAATAGAAATTGTGGTAGATTCGTGGAATGACATTTTTCTTGCACAGATTCATTAAGTCCTTGAATTTGGCATCTGAGATTGGAACCAAGGAGGAGTAGAGAGGTTTCAGATGATACTTTTTCATGTTTCTAAGTTTGGCCCCTCTGGTTCGTCCACTTCGAATATCAATGGAATTATATTCTGGCTGACTGATTTCGTATTTAAAAAATATCTTGGTTGGCTCTTCCTTTCGATACTGGAATGAATGAATATTATTCCATTTTACTCTCGATCCATCTTCCGCGTGGTTCCTGTTGCCTATGCAATCATCTGTAAGCTCTTTGAAATCCATAACTTTCTCATTCTCCAACTCTTTCACTTCATACCTAGGGGGGTTTACTTTCGCATTGCGGACACCATGCATCCAATCACTGGGTGAAAACATCTCTGAGTGTTTAGTTGATCTTTCAATCACGGCATGGACAGAATCCCCCTCCATCTGTGAGTGTCCCCGTTCAAAATAATTGTGTGTTATTTTTTGTATGGGAAAATTAACAACAGAGTAGAGGCATATTCCACTAAATGGTAAATTTCTCTGCTGGCCAGTGCAACTATCTGAATAGTACACTAGTTCTTCAACTGATCCAACACTTCTGTTGTACTCTAGCAGACAGGAAGCTATTTCACAACTTCCCCGCTTTGCTATGGTTTCCCACCACATGTTACAAACAGTTTCTTTGGTAACAACATCAAATATAGTGAAGTTGTAAGTAGCAAGTTTTCTGCTGTAGTACAGTTCATTTATTTGAGCCTTAGGGGTAACAAGTACCTTCTGCAAATCAAAGTTTATGGTCTTGATCATTTCATTCTCTGTTGCTCTTTGTTTATCTTCTTGTTTTTTCATTCTTGCTTCCTGCTTTCGTTGCTGATGCTTTTCAAATTCATGCTTATTTTCCTGTTTTTCTTTTTCTGACATTTTCCCATATGCATCACAAATGAACAGATATCCTTTTTTGGTTTGTGAAACCCTAAGTTGAATTCGGTTGCAAAAATTTTATCATACAGCCAGAATTTTTGTGCCTCCTTGTGATCGTCTTTACATTTTTCGACGTACAGATTATACATTTTTCTAATGGAGAGAGAGCTGTCCAAATATTCTCGCTGAGTTGATTTTCTACAATAGTGAGATTCTGTTTTTGGAAATGAACGAATATGTTCCCTGATTAGCTGTTTGTCTTCAACAGCAATTTTATTTTTTGGAACATGTTTCCCCCTATTGTCTGTGGAAGTGAAGGGGTTCTTTTTCTTCTTTAATGTGTAGGTTACAGTTTTTTCACCAATATCTAGTGTTCCTAAAAATGTCTTTTTGCACACCTCCACCTTACATTCATCAAGAGGCAGATAGTAGTGAATTGTGTGTTTTCTTCTTGACTCTTCTTCTGGATTTTTTGTCTTTCTTCGCTTTTCAGTCATAATTGCATTAGTTCTTATGAAATCTCTTTGGCGATCGTATGATAGGCTCCAGTAATTTTGAAATATTTCTGACATTTTGCTATTTGTTATTTTGTTTAAGCATTTGTACTTGCATTTACACGTTAATTCCCTTGATTTCCTTGCAGGAATTACAATGCCTCTGTTGTTTGTGTATGTTTTTCCTTTGTTTCGTAAATTTTTGGTTCTGTTTCGTTTCCATTCAGATGGATTTCTTTGTTTTCTTCTTCTTGATTTCATTTGACCTGATATACTAGACGAGGATTCATTAACACTGTTATTGTTGTTGTCTTCAAGTTTATCTCTGTCTGCCTCAATACCGCTCTTCTTCTTCTTTCTAGATTTAACTTTCCTCTTCCTTTCCCTGGAAGAACTAGAACTGTACGAGGACGAATCAGAATTATTTCGTTTTCTTTTACTTCTCTTTGGGGGGACATACTCATCAGATGACTCATCAAGTTGATCAGAGCTGCTGTCATCAGATTCTCTCAAATCTAATTCATTGTTTTCTGCATTGATAGATGTGAGCTCTACTATTACTTCTTCGCATGGAATGTCACCAAGGACACTTAGTATTTGGTCTAGTTGATCTACGGATAAAGAAGTATTCAAGCTTTCCATAGATACTGTATCATCTTTTGCTAAAGCTAAATCTTGTGTTCTCTCTACTGCCACTGCGTTCTCTTGTGTCCTCTCTACTGGCATTATGTTCTCTTGTGTCCTCTCTACTGCCATTATGTTCTCTTGTGTTTTCTCTACTGCCACAATGTTCTCTTTTGTTCTCTCTACTGCCACTATGTTCTCTTGTCGTTTCTCTACTGTCACTGTATTCTCTTGTGTCCTCTCTACTGCCACTATGTCCTCTTGTGTCCTCTCTACTGCCACTATGTTCTCTTGTGTTCTCTCTACTGCCACAATGTTCTCTTGTGTTCTCTCTACTGTCACTATGTTCTCTTGTCTTTTCTCTACTGTCACTGTATTCTCTTGTGTCATCTCTACTGCCACTATGTCCTCTTGTGTCCTCTCTACTGTCACTGTGTCCTCTTGTGTCCTCTCTACTGTCACTGCGTTCTCTTGTGTCATCTCTACTGCCACTATGTCCTCTTGTGTCCTCTCTACTGTCACTGCATTCTCTTGTGTCCTCTCTACTGCCACTATGTCCTCTTGTGTCCTCTCTACTGTCACTGCGTTCTCTTGTGTCTTCTCTACTGCCACTGCGTTCTCTTGTGTCCTCTCTTCTGCCACTGCGTTCTCTTGTGTTCTCTCTACTGTCACTATGTTCTCTTGTGTTCTCTCTACTGTCAATGTATTCTGTTTTGTCCTCTCTACTGCCTCTATGTCCTCTTGTGTCCTCTCTACTGCCACTGTGTCCTCTTGTGTCCTCTCTACTGCCACTGCGTTCTCTTGTGTTATCTCTACTGCCACAATGTTCTCTTGTGTCCTCTCTACTGTCACTATGTCCTCTTGTGTCCTCTCTACTGCCACTGCGTTCTCTTGTGCCCTCTCTACTGTCACTGTGTCCTCTTGTGCCCTCTCTACTGTCACTATGTTCTCTTGTGTCCTCTCTACTGCCACTGCGTTCTCTTGTGTTTTCTCTGCTGTCACTATGTCCTCTTCTGGCAACACCGTTCATTGTAGTCAATAACCGATACTCAGAATTACGTACCTCTGTATAGTCTATTCATATGCCCAGTTATATTGAAATCAGGCCAAAACTGTTGAAGTAGAATTTTAAAAATGTTTACAGACAGACGGACGGACGGAGGTCACCTTACTACCGCATAAGCTCTTCTGGTTTCTGACCAGTTCTCGAGAGGGGACGTTATACAACATATATACAATCAATTTCTGACCAGTAGCGTTCAAAATTACCAGTGGTCACTCGTCAGATCTATCGCGAACTTGTGTGATGCTGTTTATAAAAGCAGCCTTTTTTGTTAAAATTCAGTAATTGACCTTTTAATATTATTATGTTCTTTAGTGTACAAAAAGAATAGAAACTCTTTGTAATATTAAACTGACGGTCATAAGACATGTACATGTAGATGGATCCTGAATGACCAAGATATAGGATGTCTCTAATTTTCTTTTAACAACATATGATGAAAGCGTTGCAGGTTATTATTTTCTTAAAAAAGATCATTTATCATTGACATAGTGACATTATTCTTTTGGTGTTTTTTTTTTAAATGAGTAGAAACTTTCGTGGGTATTTTGTACTACTTTAAGTGTTTATTATAATTATGCAAATAGCTCAGAAACAATTACCTAAGACTTATTCCACAGTTGGCGAAGTTTCTGTTATTGATTCAGTGTCTCAGTAAATATGTTATGGAACTCATTGAAGCCAAAAGAATCATTAGATTTTTGACATGACTTTATTGTAGGATGATTTTGCGTGTCTAGGCACTGGTCCTTATTAGTCCAATAGGGATCTTTACTCGACTGTGTGCGTAAAAAATTTTGCTGCATCACTGACGTGAAGATAATCAATGATTTGTCACAACAATACATCACGTGTTTAAATATGAAGGTCTCTCGCTATATATTGATGACATTTAGTCCTACGATTAAGGAGTCTGTGATTTTCTGATGCTTGGGTTTTTATTTTCAGATTTAAGCAGGCTGTTATATTCACACAGAAAGGTGAGTGTAGCGTTTTTAAAGTAAAATCTCTGTGAAACTATCATTCAAAATTTTACTTTTTAAAACTTTTAAATTCAAATCCATAAATTTCATTTTGTGCGATTTTAAAATTATTCATAAGAATATATTTTTTGCATCGTAACAGAAAAAGCTATGTTCATAGGTTATATAATAAACCAAGATAAGATTTTTTAGTTAGTACCCACTCGTATCAAACATACATATACTGCAGTACCTTGAAGATTCCATGAACATGTATAGTTTTCATGTTACATAAGTGTAATTCAATTCAATTCTTCTTTATATTATCAATGGCAGTTTTTGGTAATATTTTTTTAGAACAATTATTTTTTTATAAATCTGTCATTTGAAATTCTTCCAACGGTAATTTTCTAGTTTTCGAATATGTGTATTGACTTTAAAGTTTTACTGTAATTATACTAGTACAATATTGCTGCTGTAAAACAAGCTTAAAACTGAAAAAAAAATGCACTATGAATTCTAAATTGTTAATTCAATTTGAACCGTGAATTGCAAACGTTAAAGATTGAAAAACAAATAAGATAAAACAGTCGGAGAATATGCGTCCCCGCGTAAGAAAAAAAAAAAAAAAGAGCATGTACGGGCGGTCAGGGACATATAAAGCTATGATAAAATAATTTGATTGCAAAAGCTTCCCGAGATATTGCGCGGGAAATGATAGTTTTACAAAATACAGTGACACATAGAATGTATAAATTTACAACTTAAAAAATAAATAGGGATCTTTCTTAGGAAATTAGGAGCTGTAAGAAATTTCACTACTAAATCCCAAAGGCTTCTCGAGATATTGCACGGAAACGAAAGTTTTAAGACAGACAAATTTTTATGAACTTTACCTTTGACCTCAAAATAGGGAGTTGTAAAATTTCATTGCAAATGCTCAAAGGCTTCTCGAGATATATTGCGGAAACGAAAGTATTACAGAAAGACAGACGAACGGACAGAGAGACAGACAGGCGGAAATTAACATCTCCTACTATCAGTAGAAGTGGAGAGCAAAATATACAAATAATTGCCTAAAAATTGCATTTTGCAATGTTGCAAAGGTTTCTGATGTATCTTGCCGTTGAATTCTCTTTCTCTATGTTAATCGAGGTTGGCACCGATAAAACTTTCTCTAAATACAACGTTAGATGCATATATAAATCAGGCATGTTTTTAAGGAGTCTGATTGGGAAAAAGCTAAAAATGCCAAAGGATGCAATTTCTCTTTGCAGACGATTAATACGGCGAGAAATGGTATTTAATGTCCCAAGTGTATATGCTGCAGGGGAAAATCGCGATCAAGTACTTTTCATGACGTCATAATGAGTTTTAAGGAAGAAAAAAAAATGTTTGCAGAGAAGTGGTTAGTGATACACTCAGATAGCGAATAGAAATGCCAGAAAGAGAAAACGAAATTACTTCGATCCCTATTTATTCTATCCGTGAATTTACGCTTGTTTCCGACAAGTCGGCGACAGTAAATGAGTGATGTAAAATGAATTATCAACATTATATTTCCCTACAGATTAATTGATTAATTTCCACCCCAGTAAAAAGGTGAGCACTTGACGTCGGAACTAATGAGCTAAATAGTTCATCAAGTTAAATCTTTGAATTTAAAGTTATTTTTTATTTATAAAAAGGACGGAAAAGAAGATGGGGAACAAGACGAGGGAAATGCCTAAAATGCGACTTCCACCCTCCTATATACACGTTTACATGAAACTTCGGGATAAGCTCTGTGGTCACTGAATTACTTTCACATTGGATTTGATTGGAAAACATTAGAAGTCCGTAATTAAAATTCAAAGATAAAGTTTATTCATGGAAAGCAAGAAACTGTACTCACTAAACAAAATCAATAAGAAATTAATATAACAAGCAAATTAACAGAATTTGTGGTTCCCCCGCTTTCGGTGTCCTAGTTCATGAGATGACATTTATGGCATTTTTTGTGAAATGTGAATGCCCTTTAATATGACATTAAAAACAAATCATCAGATTATCACCAAATTTAAAATAAAGAAAATTAGTGGCAAACACGAAGGTCACATGATAGCATGCTTTGAAACATCTTAGAACTGGTAATGCACATGTCAAATACAGAATGAAATCGTATCTATTCTCAATCAAAAGGTATAATGAAATATAATATGCTTGAAAATTAGGTAAAACTTTAAGATCAGGGCCACAGGGTAAAAAATTATAGTGATTTTAGAACGGTTCTGTTTTAATTCATATACATGTATAATATGAAAACCTTATCTATTTGGAAAGATATTTTTAGATATAATGTAAATATAGATGTGAATTATAAAAGCCCTTTCTCTTCTCATTCAAACGTTATGACCAAGGTAAGATGAGCAGACCGACAGACTAATGAGATTTAAAGTTCCTTCGCTTTCGGGAAAGCGATGGACAAGAAGATACGTTAATCTTATATTCATCACCCCGAATTCTCCAATCCGTGACACTGTAAATAATCTCAAAGCTACTATTTAAAAAAATAGTCGAAAGAAAGAAGATAACAATTAAATTTTAATAATTTTACATTTAAAAGTATCAATGTAGTTTGGGATGATTCTTCATGCATTGTTTGCCCAACACAGAACGCAGATGTCGTATTGTTTTCTATTGCTATCTGATTTCGTCCGATGTGAGTTAACAATTTAAACAGTTTCAGCTTCTTCTCTGCAACCACTAAACCATTTTCAAACGATTTTGGCATACATCATCCATGAGTAAAGGGGAAAATTTGTGAAATTAAAGACCCCTGCCCCTTGGGCCTAGTTTTGTTGTAAAAAATGCATTTAACTCTATGAAAAATCTTCTTTGCTCCTTAGTATTTAACTGTTGATCTAAGTTCATAATTATGATGAGCAAGGGTGCTTCTTCCAGATTTGTGCTCTCGTGGCCCTTGAGTCAGAGGTACCATGGGGGCTCTGATATTGATGTATAGAAAATGATTTAATACTTAAGAAATATGTTCCTTGGTATAAAGCAAACAAACTAAATGCATGGAGCATGATGAGAAGGGTGCCTCTTCCAAAATGATTGAATTTCAAGGCCCCTGGGTCAAATGTTTTGAGCTTGGACAGGGCTGTATTAATAACATAGGAAAATGAATTAATGCTATGAAATCTTCTCTGCTGATTTTGTAATAAGCAAACAAATAAATGCAATAGTATAAGTGTAAAAATATCAAGTGAGCAAATGCGCCCTTGGAACATGTATCTAGGCTGTATAAACAGCATAAAATTATACATATGAAGTCGTTTATTGAATACAGTCATGTACTATTTTGACTATAAAAGCTTTTATTTTAAAGGTTACTAAAACATTAACAATGACATTGAATGTGTGGGAATATATTAATTTCGGTCTGTCTGTCCGTCCGTCTGTTTCACTTTCGTTTCCGAGCGATATCGAGAAGCTTCTGAGTGATAGGAATGAAATTTTACAAATGTACGTAATTTGTTCGGAGGGATGTCTTAAAATTTTGAGTAATTTACTGTTTATGTTTCTTCTTATCAAATGCTGATAATCAAGAATCTGACTCCCAATCGTTCACATAATTTTTAGCTCACCTGAGCCGAAGGCTCAAGTGAGCTTTTCTGATCACATTTTGTCCGGCGTCCGTCTGTCTGTCTGTAAACTTTTCACATTTTCGACTTCTTCTCAAGAACCGCTGGGCCAATTTCAACCAAACTTGCCAAAAAGCATCCTTGGGTGACGGGGATTCAAGTTTGTTCAAATGAAGGGCCACGCCCTCATTCAAGGGGAGATAATTGGGAATTAGTGAAAATTTGGTGGCATGCTTTAAAAATCTTCTTCTCAAGAACCGCTGTGCCAGGAAAGATGAACCTTATGGGGAAACATCCTCAGGTAGTGTAGATTCAAGTTTGTTCAAATCATGACCCCTGGGGTTAGGGCGGGGCCATAATGGCCGATCAAAGTCTT